GGCGTGATCCACGAGTATGGATCCAGTCGCCAGGCAGGGCATGAGCAAGATTCCAGCAAAAGCAGCAAGGCATGGATCCAGCAGACCGGCTATCAGCAGGACGCACCGCGTCCACCCAGCCGCTATCAGGACCGTGTACTGAGCGCTTCCGCGGGGCCGAGCGCCGAGCGGCCGAGCCACAGATAGGGTCGCGCGGTGAGTAGTGGTCCTGCCTACTTCCTACAACTGGTCCAGCCCGCCACCCCCACGCGAGGGCCGCCCCCGCCGCCCCCACCGTGACGTGTGCCGTGTGACGCATGGTCATGAAGGTCACGTCGTTGCTGGGCAGGCTGGGGTTGATGCAGCGCGGCGGCAGGTCGTGGTGGGTGGACAAGAACAGAGGGGTAGGTAAGAACAGCAGCTGACCTCCGCCACTCTCGCACCAGCCAGCCACCTGACCTTCTCATCCCCGAAACTATACGGGACACTTTATGTCAAATGATAAAACATCCGCCCCCTCGTTGTATACTGTCCACACGTTCGTTTTTCAAACGTCCCGCCTCCGCGCTGGCGGCACCCTCTCTCTCAACTCGCGTTCGCCGGACAGCTGGGGAGCGAGCGGCGGGCGGCGTCAGGACCAACTAATTTCTGACAAGCATTGAAGAGCGATACACAATGCGCACGTCTGGTGCCGCAGTCCGGCTGGCGTTTATTACAACCCCCATCATCACCATCATCTCCAACCACCCGGTCCAGTAGATTAAATTGTCACCCCACACATGATGTATTAACGCCGCCGTGTACTCTCTGAGATGAAACAGCAACAACAAGAGCCGATGATGTTCGACACACATCAGCTATTTTCGCTTCAGGGGTGATCCGTGATCCAAAAGGGTAGAGGTGAGACAGAGTGCGGACGAGGCGGACCGCGAAGGCGGCAGCAGCAGCAGGATCAGCAGCAGCAGCAGCAGCAGAGCCTCGATGGTGTCGAGGAGGAGCGCCGGGCGTTACAGCAGCAAATAAGGCGAGCCGTGCAAACAATCGGACCACCACGCACGGACACACAGACTGCAAGACACACACGAGAAAAACACTACACTACACTACACACACACAGGCGCGCGCACACACACACACAAGCACACACGACCGACAAACTCCAAGACAATCACGATAGGAGAGCCACTCGGAGTAAAGGAAAACTCCTCGGCGGGCGATACAACCAACCTTGTGATGAGACGGGGAGGTCGAGCAGGGGGAGGAGGACCAGAGGGGGCAAGAGGGTGGACGACACAGAAACACCGCACGCACAGTTTTGCTTCTCGAAATTTGTCTCGAGTTTCTAGGTCCTTCAAGGTAGCGTGCCGCGCCAACACAATTCTTGTCATAACTCAAAGGAAGGGCTGAAAAAAAACAAGACTTACGGCAAATCGGGCAAAACGGATTCTAAATTTCAACGTCAACGAACCGCGGAAGAAACAAAAAATAGAGCAATATATTTGCAACCCGAAAAAAATTAATATAACAAAAGATATACTAAGCCCACACTCGATGTACGAGTGTCTTACTATTGGCATAGCGAACTGGCTTATGACCCGCTTGCCCTTTCTTTACCAACCACCCTCTGCTTCAACATCCTGAGCATTACGCACAGCAAGTGTAGCGGACAACGCGGACGTGACCAACCTTGCGCGACATCAAGAGGCAACGCGCGCGCGCCCACGCACACACACACACACACACACACACACACCACGCGCGAGCGCACAAGGGCTTCCGTTCTAGGACGAGCAATAAAACGTAAAACCAGGCCAGCGGCTTACGCCGAGTGCGGTAGCCAAGTGACTAACTGGGGGACATATCTATTTGCGCGGCAAATGTTGCTCGTACTCGGAATAACGAGATGACAGTTTGCGATAGGGAAAAGCATGTTACGCGTCGTTTTCAGAGAAAACCCGTCAAAGCGACACTGACCGACCCAAGCCCGCTCAACAGAGTGAGCCCGCGCGGGATAACGTACTTTATAGTGCTCCTATGCCCACGACCCGCTGCCACACGCTCGCGTGAGCGGTTTGTCAACTTCTAGGCAACTTGGGGCCCCAATCAATGTCACCTCTGCCGGGCCGGCCGACAGCCAGGGGTACTGACCCACACGATAGCCCCTCCCCCCCCCCCAATCCTCAGAGAATTAATGACGATCGGACGACCAGTTCAGGCCAGGATGCACCGGCCACACACTGCAAACGGGCTCACCGACCACCACTAATACTATGATAATACTATTCGGGAGGAGCTTCACTTTACGGGCAAAAGCCTGGTAGTAATCGGAGCCTCAGGCAACGTTCCAACCTAACCCCCTTCTCCACTAGCGGAGCGTCAGTGAGGCGCGCAGTGTCTGTTTCTCTCGCACACGCACACACACACACACACGTCAACAACACAGCCCCGTAATTCGGATCACCTTACGAACGTGGCCATTGCGTTATTCATGTTTACAGTGTGAACAATATTTGTGGGAAAAATTGTGACTTCCTTAAAACCCTTTTGGTAATGTTATTGAACTTTAAACAAACATTTACACCAGCAATACGTGCGATATATCGCTGCAGCCATCAAAAACTGTCAGTCTGGGTAGGATATGAGCATTACAATTTTAGTAACGGGAATATAAACTTTCGGACGCAGCAACTAAAATTTCTGCTACAGCAACTAAAATTCGGTTGCCCTTGACTAACCTGGCCAAATCGAACAACATTGGATGGGGTATCAACGTTTTGATGACTGAAATCGAACATTTCTCTCAGTGTGTGCGGTGCGCGTCATGCCGGTAAGTTTACTACAAACAACGCCCCTATCTACACAAGAGCACACGCAGGTCGTTTCCAGAGCTCGGTTTCCAGGCCGAATTAGACATTTATGCGTGACGGACCGACCCCAAAATACTTCGGTGAGCACGCCCCCTCCCCCTACGCTTCATAACGCCATGATGAGACTTATCGACGAGGTTGCCGCCC